ATTCCAGTGGGTCCTGACGGGGGGGGGAGGGCACTCTGCCACAGACCATCACCAGCCCCACGGGGGTCCACAAAGGCCCCCCCAGAGGGATGTCTCCAGGGGCGCTCTAGGGCTGCTACCCCCCACACACACACACACCCTCGTCTTCCACCCGGATCTCTACAGCTCTCCTGTTCCTCTTTGCGCTTCACGATGATGACCAGAGTGGACGGCTGGACGGCCTGGAATTGATGCAGCTGCTGGGGGGGCTGGGCTCTTGGCAAGCCGAGGGGAAGCCCAGCCCGGACTCGGTAGGCAACCCCTCCCCCCTTTTGTGCCAGATGGTTTTTGGGGTGGGGAAGGGATCTCGGCCCCAGGTAGAGACACTCCTCTGGCCGAGTCCGTCTGGCAGCCCCTCCCTCCATGCGCCACTTCTGACCACAGAGCAGTGGGGGAGGGGTCCGTGGGCTGAAGGGCTGAGCCAAGGAGGAGGAAGGGGAGGACAGCAGGAGCGCGAAAGAGCCCTTTGGGAGAGCCAGAAGGTTCTTGCTGAGCAGGCAGATATGACGGGCGGGGGGGGAGTGGAATAGTCATGGGGGGGCTGGGCCTTGACTCCCCGTCTCCTCCTCCAGGTGGTGCAGATGGTGGACAGCATCTTGGCCACTCAGGACATCAATGGGGATGGGGTGCTGGAACTTTCAGAGATGCTCCTTGGCCCCCAGCAGCAGGGTCAGCCCCCAGCCTCGCCCAACAGGGAAGAAGGGGGCCCTGCGCCGTGGGCACCAGAAGCAACTCCCCACCACCACCACCACCACCAAGAGGGTGCTGCCGGTCTCCCAGAGCGCCAGGAGGGCCTCCCCTCCATCACCACCACTTCAGAGGCTGCTCCAGAGCAGGGCACGAAGGACGGCCCTGCTCCCCAGTGAACCCTTGGCCAGAGGAGCAGGAGGGAGTGCCTGGCCAGGAGGACACGGCACAGACCATGTCAGGAGACGGAAAACCCTCCCCATCACAATGAAGGGCAAAACGGGGGGGGGTGTGTGTGAGCTGGCTTGGCCCATGGACTAAGAGCTGCCAGGGCAACGTCAGGGAGTGGGACGGCTTGGAGGCTACTACCCCCAGTGGCCAAATGCCCCCCCCACCTGCAATATCTCTGTCCCTCAGAGCTTATTCAGCTGGCGG